AGTCCCACAAACCGCCAATCCGGATGCAGGGAGGACGCTCCGAATGAGCATTTTACATAAGCCTGGGAACCTTCACACAGTGCCAACTGCCTAAGGTTCCTGTGAGGATTACATGAAAATCAGTAAAATAATAATACCTGATAACAGCTGAAGTGACTCCCAGGGGATACAAAGGCCCGGTGCCTCCCTCCACTCCACTCATTTTAGCATTTTTCTCCTTTTGGGAGCCGGGTATTAAAGTTTAGAGGCCAATCAAAAGCAGCCACATATATGGGGGAAATCAGAAAGTCACTGCCCGTGCCCAAGGAAAGACGCAGCCTCAGCTAAGACCTGGAAAGACCTTAACCTGAGGCTGAGCCTTGGCTTTTTCGCTGTGAGTCAGAACCCACCTATGTCAGAACCTACGTCACTCACATGGAGCACATACACAGCAGTAATAAAGTGAAACAGAAAAAAGATAACTCTTTTTTTAAAAACATATTTTATTAACTTTTTACAGAGAGGAAGGGAGAGAGATAGAAAGTTAGAAACATCGATGAGAGAGGAACATCGATCAGCTGCTTCCTGCACACCCTCCACTGGGGACGTGCCCACAACCAAGGCACATGCCCTTGACCGGAATCGAACCCGGGACCCTTGAGTCCGCAGACTGACGCTCTATCCACTGAGCCAAACCGGTTTTGGAAGATAACAATTCTTGATCTTTACTTGTGGTAAGTAAATAATAAAAAACATAAAGCACATATATACATACGTCAAAATGACAGAACTTTTATTTTTTTTAATGAATAAATTGGCCACATAACCACGATGTTACCCGAGGACTGCCTGTATTTACTTATTTGTTCCATCCCTGTCACATGTAGCCAATCTATGCCCCAGCCAGCAAGCACTCGCAGCTCTGTGGGCCACCACTGATCTGCAGGGAGAGGGAGTGCTTCCGACACCTCAGCATCCTGTCAGCCTGCTGATACTTCGAAGAAAATGTTACACTTTCCCCATCAGGAGTGTTGTCCACAATGAAACTGCCTAAAATCTCTCTAAATGGAACCAAATCTTACTTTCATGTGCTCTGGGAGCAAAGCAGGTCAGGAAGCACGACTTCGGTCCTGTTTTTCCTGGGCCAGATGCAGTTGGGGCTCTCTCTAATCTCACCAACTCGAGATGAAATAACAAATTCATCCATTTCCAATGCACCTGGAATTCAAATGATGGAGGAGGAGGACAAGGTATCTCAAGTGAAATTCTCATCTAGAAAAGGAGAGGCACCACACAGCTCCCGCTGGCTGAGGTCAGTGTTCCCCAGGCTTCAATGTACACGAATCACCTGGAGATCTGGGAACGTCTGTTCCACCGGCTCTGGGGCGAGGCCTGCGGTCCCATATTTCCAACAAGCTTTCGGAGGATGTGACGCTGCTGTTGGAGGGCTGTGTTTTGAGTAGCAAGTCCCTAAAGTATTTGTCACGCTTATTCCGGTGGTCAGCGGGGCTGAATTAAATTGTCCACCTGAAAAACGCGGAGAGGTTTTAGCCTTTTATTTCTTGCTCTTGCAAACGCCCACACAGAGAGAACAGGGAACCTCTGAGAAGCACTGGTGGACACACAGTACACTGCACGCTGCTGAAGATGGAACTCGGCCATTACAGAAAAGAGGAAGGCCACTGAGGTCCAGAGTCTAGGAGTGTGAAGAAGCCTGCGGGCTTGGGGAGCCTGGAGAAACTTAAGTCAATGAACAGCAGTTTAGGTATATTTGTCTGCTTCCAATTTCCATCGCAAATGTGATTAGTCTGCTTGAATAAATAGGAGTATGAAAGAAAAATGGTTATCAGACTCATTTTATAACTTCTTCTGCCCCTGACCTTTTTGTTCCTAGAGTATTTTATTTTTTAGTATATGTGCTGCCGAAGCGAGCACCCTAGAGTATTTTATTTATTTATTTATTTATTTATTTATTTATTTATTTATTTATTTTTATTATTAAAAAACAAAAAAAAACCAAAAAACATTTTATTGATTTTTTACAGAGAGGAAGGGAGAGGGACAGAGAGCCAGAAACATTGATGAGAGAGAAACATCAATCATCTGCCTCCTGCACATCTCCCACTGGGGATGTGCCTGCAACAAAGGTACATGCCTTTGACCGGAATCAAACCTGGGACCCTTCAGTCCGCAGACTGACGCTCTATCCACTGAGCCAAACCGGTCCCGGTGCTCCTAGACTATTTTAAAGCAGTCAGCCATTATATCATGTCAGGGTGCACTTCTAAGATATAAGAATTAAAACAAACAAACAAACAAACAAACCACAGTGTCATTATCACACAAAAATGGACAAAAGTAAACACAGAATTAACTGTAATTCCTTGACATCATCTAATCCTCAATCCCCACCCAGATCTTTGGATGCAGGCAACAGGTGAGTTCCTTGGCCAGCTATTCCCAGGTTTACTTCCTTTGCTATAAATATATTCCTCCCCAAACCATATTTTTTGGCCAATTTCATTGGGGGGGGGGGGGGCAGTATTTGCAAAAACAATGGCAGAAGCTTTAGGATCAAACCCTTTGCCTCTGGCTAATTCTTTAGCCTTGAGGTTGGGACAGTAAACGGAATCCCAGTCCTGAGGCTGGGGAAATCAACCCCACCACAGGCTGGCAGCCCTAGTGACCCTGACGTAGACATTTGAAAGAAGTTGCTTCAGGAGAGTCCAGGGGATCAAGCTTCCCAAACTCTTCTAGCTCCGAAACCTTCTCACTTCTCCCAGGCACCCTCACATTGCCGGCACCACACCCCCCGCCCCCCACTCCCAACACACACACACACACACACACACACACACACACACACACACACACACACACACTGTTCATCAGTTATTAGCTGGGTTGCATGTGGTGATCTGTCTCCACCTCTCCAGACTCTGGCCTCCCACGGAAGTGTGCTCCTGCCTTGCTCTCAGCCTGCCCGGGCGCGGAGCTGGGCTCTCTCACCGCCTGTCCCCGAGACCCTCAGGAAGCAGCTGGGGCAGCCTATCCCCACCTCTTCCTGCCGAGTCCTGTCACTGCAGAGCCTGGTTCTATGCTCTTTTATTTTTTTATTTTATTTTATTTTTTGGTTCTATGCTGTTTTAACAAGACCCAGGATAGAAGTTCAACCTTGGGTACACCACCTAGGTTCTATGCTGTTTTACTTTTTTATTTTTGTATTCTTTTTTATTAAATTATTATATGTGTACATATCTTACCATTGCCCCCTCCCCCCACCCCATTCTGTTTTAACAAGACCTAGGATAGAAGTTTAACCTTGGTACACCACCTGGGAGAACACGGGTGGCTCTTAGCTGTTCCCCCTCACAGTCCCGCCCGCATCCTGGCCTGAGAGCACAGGCCTGGGCCGTGCCTCCTCCTGTCTCCTTGCTTTTCTCTAAAGCTGGTGCTGTTTCTGTCCGTGAGGACGGTGGTGGTGGTTGGGGGTAGGGGAGTGGGGGCGCGTGGACCCTTGCTCAGTGACAGTCCTGAGCATCTGGTAGACCTGAACCATAAGAGACCACACAGTTTCCTGGCCAGCTGCTTGGCTGCCAAATCCCCAGCCTGGGGCCGAGGTGGAGCCTTGGGCCCACACCCCAGATTCCACGGTGCTCAGCCTGCACAGTGACAGCAGCCTTCCCTGCGACTCAGTGTCCAGGTTCCGACTCGGGGTGAGTCGGGGCTCTTGTGGCTGCGCGACAGGAATCACACTCCAAGCGGTTTCAGCAAAAGGGTCTGTTTATTGGGAGACTCGGGGAGCAGGCTGGCCTCGGGGTCTCAGGAAAGGCAGAGGGAGACAGGGCTTCCTTTCGTCCTCGCCTCTTCTCTGTGGCGCCTTGTTCCTCTGAGACCCCCACCCCCACCCCAGTGGCGAAAAATGTGGCCCCACCTTTAGGCCTCACAGAGGTGCTGCCCGCTGCTGTCCCCCGGGAGCTGCCTGAGCTCAGATGCCCGGTCACCCCAGGCCGATTACATGGGGTGTCGGGGGCGGAGCCTGGGTGTCAGAGGCCTGAGCAGCTGAGCTCAGGATGGAACTCAGGCCAGAAGACTCCATGGCTGGGGGGGCGGCCGTCCTGTAAACCATTTAGGGCCACACTGGGGCCCCTCTCTGGCGCCCCCTCTGGCCCGAGGCTGGATGGGCTTCTTGCAACAGCCGTTGCCGAGACTCCGCATGGATGTGCAGCAGCTGTCCGGCCAGGACCCACACCAATGACCCACCAATGAGCCACCGCAGCTCTCCTCACCTGCCCCCTCTCCCCCACAGCATCCATGACAGTCATCTTGTCAGAATTCACCTCTCAGAGCCAAGCTCGGAGAAGGCTGGGTTGTGTCCCGGGGTCTGTGACTGGGTGGGAGAGGTGGCCACACAAAGCGGTGGGGGAATCAGAAGGAAGCCGGCTGCGGAGGGCTCGGGCAGCCCACCCCACGTGGGAGAGAGAAGGCGGTGGCCAGGGAGAGACTGGGGGCCCGGGAAGGACATTCGGGGTGGGAGAGGCCTGAGCAGGAGGGAGGAGCGGATCTGGGTTCATTTCCCTGCACTCCTCTGACTAAGCCGGTGGGTCCCTGTCCCAGGGCACACCTAGGCACTGGTGGGACTGCGTCTCTCTTCAGGCCCAGGGCTCCCCGACCGGGGGGGGGTGGGGGGGATGCTACCCAGTGCTGGGCCCAGCCTCAGGGCGGGGCCTCCCATCAGGAGGTCCTGGGGCCAAGCCAAGGCCAGGCTGCGGATGTGACTGGGCAGGGGTCCTGGTCAGCCTCGGCTGTTGCATAACCCACCCTGGACCTATCCCCCCCCATCCTATGCCTCACACCCCCGGGGACCAGCTCGGACCTCTCTGAGCCAGCCCCGACCCGGCCATGCCCGGGACACATGCAATGGCACCATGCTTGGGGCTGGGTGTTCACTTCTCTTTCCACAAAGAACCGAACACACAGTCTGGGTGTGGCAGGGAGACAGCCGGGCTGGGGCCTGGGCATTACACGCCCAGGGGGGCCTTGGAGGAGGCAGACAGTTTAAGAATTGGTCTGAAAGTCAAAAGAGAGGACAGCTGGTTAGTGGGGTGAGCAGCAGAGGGGGGAGGAGGGGCAGGGGCTGTGGGGATCAGGGTTAGGCTCAGGGTCTGGCCAGTGGGGTCAGAGCTGGGCCCCCACAGCAGGGGGCCCGGTCCCTGGGGCGAGGGGAGGAGGATGCAGGCTGTGTGGGTGTCCAGGCGGTGCTGGGCGTGCTGCAGGGCTGAGACCTGAATGCAGGGGCAGCGGGACCAAGGGGCTTGGTCTCCAGGAACCTGCTCCCTCGTGTACAATGTGGGGAAATTCGTCATTCCAGCACTGCCTCCTCACGCGGGGGCTGTGAGGAGCCCAGGGCTCTGGCCACCCCGGGGTGCTGGACACCAAGCTCCATCTTTATTGCTCTGCCCACAGGGCCCAGCGCGGTGCAGACACTCACACAGCCCTTCAGTGAGAAAGTAAGCCCCAGCGAAAGGCCGGCACCTGGACTGTGGGGAAGCACGCAGGGGCCAGGAGACTGTGTGGCCCGGCCCATGCCTGCCCCTGGACCTGTGTGTGCCCACGTGGCCTCTCTCTGAGTGTCCGGGTCCCGGTCTCAGAGCGAAGGGTGTGTGTCTGTGTTGGGGACAAGCTGCTCAGGGCCCTGACCAAGCTCGGGGGACGCCCTGTCCCCCACAGACCCTGCCCAGAGCGCTGAGGGGCTGTGGCGTGCCGGGGCAGGCTGCTGGCGGGGGCTGGCGGCTCAGACGTACTCTCTGGCTGTGGTGGAGGGGCCCGGCCGGTAGGGCTGTGGGCTGCTGTTGACTCTCTCAGGCTCAGGGCACGTGCAGCAAAGGAAGGAACCACCCAGCATGGCCAGGCCGGCGGCAGCCCAGCCCACGAACAAGGCTGGGCCGAACTCGTACCTGCAAGGAGTAGGGAGGGTGCCATCAGGTTGTGGCTGCAACCCAGGCGCTCGGCGTCACCAGGGGCTCCCTAGCCCGGGCCCGGGCTGGGGTCGGGCAGGTGCTGGGAGCTGGGACTGGGGCCTCACAGGCCCGAGCAGCCTCTCTGGATGGGCTGGGATGAGCACTCACTCTTCCTCCGTGGCCACCCCAGCAGGATGACACTCTGCAGGGTGACCCAGACCCATGGGAGGCTGCTCCCTGCAGCCTCATCTGGCCAGTCCAGGGGGAGGGGAGGGCCTGCAGGTGCTGTTGGCAGAGCAGGGCACTCCCTGCTGCCTCTCTCGGTCACAGTCGGACCCTTAGAATCCCAGCCAGGGCTCCCCACTGCCCTCTGACAAGGGCAGACCCTCCGCCTGGCACTCCAGGCTCTCCACGTCTGGGCCCTGCCCACCAGCCTCGGCAGTGCCCTGGGTCCACCTGCGTCTGTGCCTTTGCCCGAGGCGCCCCCTCCTGGAGCATCTCCTGTTCCGTGCCTCCTATGCTCCGCCTTCAGGAGGACCCTCCTCCGGGGACTTTCCCAGGCCCCTCCGTGCTCCCCTGAAGTGCACGGACTCACACTAGGTGGCCATTCAGTACCATGCTTGCTCAAGCCATACACCGAGGTCTCCTTTTCCTTCCCCCTCCACACCCCTGCCTCCTCCAGGGAGCACTCCCTCCCAACTGCTACAGCCCAGGCACCTTCTCTCATCCTCCCTCCACCTCCCGCCGCTCCTCCCCTCCCACCCCCTCACTCTCCCCGCCTGCTCACGGCCTGTGGGATGTCTGGGATTGAGGTTGTCCCGTCCTCTGCTTCTGGCAGAGCTGCGAGGGGAGGGAGGAGCCAGAGGGGGCCGGGTTCCTCAGATCCCCATTCAGCCCCCACGCCCTTGGTCTCACGTGCCCTGACCCTTCAGCCTTCGAAATATCTCTGACCGACTCCTCCCTGCCAGCCCCCTGGCCCATGCCCTCTGCTCCAGACTTCTGCAACAGCATCTACTGGTCTCGCCCCTCTCCCACCATCCTCCACGCCACAGCTGGAGGGACTGCCAGCTGCCTGAGGAGCAAAGCCTTCCCACGGCTGCAAGGCCCTCCGCGATCTGCCCCGCCTTGTCTCAGCGGCACCCACGCTGCCTCCCACCCAGAGTAACGCTGCCTCCTGCGGAATCACAGCAGCGGGGCGTGGCTGAGTGCTCCCCGGGCCCAGGCACGGTGCTGAGTCCCTTAGGCATCGAACCCTCTCAACCTTGGGTCCTCGGGTCCCAGCGCCCTTTCACAGGGAGGTAATCCGGCACAGGAAGATTAAGGAGCAGAAACCGGTTTGGCTCAGTGGATAGAGCGTCGGCCTGCAGACTGAAAGGTCCCAGGTTCGATTCCGGTCAAGGGCATGTACCTGGGTAGCGGGCACATCCCCAGTAGGGGGTGTGCAAGAGGCAGCTGATCGATGATTCTCTCTCCTTGATGTTTCTAACTCTCTATCCCTCTCCCTTCCTCTCTGTAAAAAATCAATAAAATATATTTAAAAAAAAAAAGATTAAGAAGGAACTAGCCTGGTACATAGCAGCACGTGCAGAGATGAGATTGAAGCCCAGAGCCAGGCACTTAGCTCCTGGTGTCCTCACAGGCACCCTGCCCTTTGGAGGGCCCAGCCACAGAGAGCTTCTCGGTGACAGCACCTGGGGCCGTCCCCTGTGCCCCCTGCATGCACCTGCAGGATGTGGGGAGGGATGCCCAGCCTGACCCCTGGCCCAAGCCGTGTCTTGGCACTCACCTGGCGTTGACAGGTGTGCTGGGGTTGAAGAACTCCTGGGTCACCAGGGTGGCATACCAGGAGACGGCAGTCAAGGTGCAGAGGCCTGAGGACAAAGGAGCAGGTGCTCAGGTCTGCCCCCTGCTGGCCACGGGGTGGAGAAGGCGCCAGGGGCACTCACCTGCCAACAGGAAGAGGGCCCCCCCAGAGACAGCTATGCGGCCCTTGGCGATGGGGTTGCTGTCTCCGACCCGGGTGCACTTCATGCCAACGACACTGAGGATCATGGCCACGAAGCCCAGGAGCACAGCCACCACCATGAGGGCTCTTGCGGACTGGATGTGACCTGGGGGCAGGAGGGGCTGAGCCGATGGCGGGGGGGGGGGGGGGGGGGGCAGGAGAGCGGGTGGATGGGGAGCCCGGATGGGAGGGGCTGGAGCAGGAGCTGGAAGCTGCTCTGGGACTGACTGCCACGGGCAGGGGTGAGGGTAGTAAAGACAGGGTGGAGCTTCCCTGTATAACCCTCTCGCTTTCAGGCTCCTCTGGGGGACCAGGCAGCCCTCTCGGCAGCCCTCTCCGGCTGGGACTTCCTCTGGGGCCTGCCCTCCCGAACAGCAGGGGCGGCTTCTCCTGAGGCCTCTCTGGTTCGGCGAAAGGAGGAGCGGAGGGCAGCGGAGGCCAGCTCGGCCCAGATGGCCCGTAGGCAGGGATGCCAGCCCCATTGGCCGTCGTGATGATTGCCACCTTCCCCTCTGCCCTCTGAGTCACCCCTGCAGCCGTATGCCTGCTGCCCGCTGCTCGCTGGGCTCTGGCCTGTGGGCCCCAAGCCAGGTGCCTGCTTATGAGCCAGCTTTTCAAGGCTCAATTCCAAACCCCGGGAGGAAGCAGAACAACTAGAGGGCCGGAGCACATGCGTGTGCGCATGCATGTACGCTATGCATGCACTTGTGCGTTCGTGTGTGTGTGTGTGTGTGCATGAGGATGCTCTCCTAGCTGGCGGGGCCAGCATGTGAGTGTGCATGCTGTCTGCCTACCGAGCATGGGGAGGGGAGGGAGGGTCTTGCCAGGCACTCATCTCACTGAACCCTCCCATCAGCCTCGGCTATGGTCCCCCCTTTACACATGAAGATGTAGGAACATAAACAACACAGACGGATGAACAGGAACAGACCCAGAGATAAGGAGCCACGGGTCAGACTGTTGGACCTCAGAGGGAGGGTGGGGATAAAAGGGAGAGATCAACCAAAGGACTTCTGTGCACACAAATGAGCCTAACCAGTGGTCACGGACAATAGGGGGTGGGGGCATGAGAGGTAAGGGTGGGGGATTGGAATGGGGGGTTGAGGACCAATATGTGATACCTTAATCAATAAAGAAATTAAAAAAAAAAAAAAAAGATGGAGGAACACAGAGAGGGAGGGCCAGCAGGCTTTTCAAGGCTGCAGAGGCAGAGCTGGGGTCTGGATCCCCGGCTGCCAGAACCTGGACCCCTGCCCCCTGTGGGCACCCAGCTGGCCTAGATTTTCAACAAGTGCATGGTGGGGGGGAGAGGGGGAGAAGGCGGTGGAGAGTGGATCCCAGTGCGGATGGCGGGCTGTGTGGAAGCTTGCTCGCCCCCCCCCCCCCCAGCCCCAGCCCCGCTGGCGGGAGGCCTACCTTCCAGGGCGAGCAGCGAGTCGTAGAGCTTGCACTGCACCTGCCCGGTGCTCTGGGAGGCGCAGGACATCCAGAGCCCCTCGTAGAGGCCCACGGCGGTGATGATGGCGTCGCCCGCGTAGGACGACTGCTTCCACTGCGGCAGGGCCGTGCTGGCGATGATGCCCACCCAGCCGCCCAGCGCCAGGAAGTAGCCCAGGAGCTGCAGGCCCGAGTTGGCCATGGCCCAGGGGAGGGGGCTGGGGTCCCAGAGCTCAGGGCTGGGCCAGGGTCCCCGGGGGAGCCGGGCTCATGGCCGGGGGAGCCAAGCCGCCGGGCGGGGTGAGGGGCAGCGGTGGTAAAGGCTGAGGAGAGGTGGCAGCCCGGCCACGGCAGCAGCAGAGGCAGCGGCTGGGGCTCTAGAATGCAGGGGGAGGCCAGGCGCTGGCATGGCCAGGGGCCCGCCCACAGCAGCCGGCTGAGCCAGGGCAGGTCCCAGCAGGGCTCCTGCCCGGCCCCCTGGGGGTGGGGGGCGGCTGTGGAGCAGGTGGGTGCTCTGCCCCACCCCCAGGACCAAGGCGGGAGGGGCTGGGGGAGTGACCCTGGTGTCCTCAGGGCCTTTCTGCCAGGAAAACCCCTTTAGGAACCTGATGCCAGTGCCTGCGATTCCCCTAATTCCTCCCCGAGCTGCCCCAGCCCCGAGGGGAATGACTTTGCTCCTGGGTGGCTGCACTGACCCAGGGGTTTCTGCGCTCTCTGCCTGTGCGACAGAAAAGAAATGGAATTCCACCGAAACCGGTTTGGCTCAGTGGATAGAGCGTGGGCCTGCGGACGGAAAGGTCCTGGGTTCAATTCCGGTCAAGGGCATGTACATTGGTTGCGGGCACATTCCCAGTGGGGAGTGTGCAGGAGGCAGATGATCCATGATTTTCTCTCATTGATGTTTCTAATTCTCTATCCCTCTCTCTTTCTCTGTAAAAAAAAAAATTAATAAAATATATTAAAAGAAAAAAAGAAATGGAATTCCAATGCGCAGCCGGTGAGACTGGAGGAAGGCACCAGGGAGAAGAACTCTTTGGAGAGGACTCTGAGGCAGATTTGGAAGGACGGGCTGGGGAAGGGGTGCTGGAGAGAGGTGTCCTGGGTACCTGGGTGCCACGTGCATAAAAGCAGGGAGGCCGGAGCAGGGGATATGTTCTGTGGAGTCTGTTTACGACATGAGCAGGCAGAGAGGGACCCACCAAGGCTGGGCCAGACCTGGCTGCTGGTCAGGAGGGGCCTGGCAGGGAGGTAGGAGATAGCCCCGGCTTCTGGCATCAGCCCGAAGGAAGGCAGCCTGTTCTCCCCTCTCCTCCCCTCCCCGTTAATCCCCTTCTGGCTGGCTTAGCAGCTCCTGCTGGGGCCCGAGGCGCTGTGCCCTGGCCCCCAGCTCCAGAGCGGCCTGGTGGGGAGGGAGCCGCGGCCTCTGCACATTCCTGGGGTTCAGGCTTCCCCCTCTTCCCGCCCACCTTCCCCCCTCTCTCCCACCCCAGCTCCGCCCTCCGGAGCAAGAGAATATTTAACTCTCCTGGACCTCATTAGCAATCCCCTCACGTTCAGTTCAGTTGAGTTCAGTTGTGGGTACAGGGGGAATGTCACAGCCCTGCCCCCACTCCTGCCAGCTCCCTCCCCAGCCGCCCCCTCCTCGCCAGAGCCACCTGCTTTGGCTGGACGGAGCTGGGTGAAAGCAGGGTCCTGCTGTTGACCACCCCAGCTTCCTCCCCCACAGCCCCGGCCCCCCTCCTCAGGGACCCGTCCCCAGCCTGCACCCTTGCATTCTTCACGTGGCTATGCAAACGAGAGGGTGCCAGGCCCTGCACAGACAATGGCTGCCCTGTGTGTCCACCCAAGGCGTGGGCCCCTGGTATGGCCTGGACCCTGGTCCTTGGGAGCTGGGGGAACAGCCAGCCCTCTGAAGGGTCAGGGGTGGGTGCTGTTTGGCCTGTGGTTTGGAACACTGTGGCCCCCCTGTGGCCCTCCCTGCCGGGAAGACCAGAGCCACCTGGATCTGTGTGCTTGCGAAGGCCTGGGGTCCCAGAAAGCAAGCAGAAGGTCTAAGCCAGGGGTGGGGAATATCTGGCCCGAGGGCCATAGAAGGCCAGACAACTCACTTGGTCCGGTCCTGCCTGGACATTAGTGGTGAGTTAATTAAATGTTTGACCAAATACAGCAGGCTCATTTTCTTTTTTTAAAATCTATTTTATTGATTTTTTACAGAGAGAAAGGGAGAGAGGGATAGAGAGCTAGAAACGCCAATGAGAGAGAAACATCAACCAGCTGCCTTTTGCACACCCCCCACTGGGGATGTGCCCGCAACCAATGTACATGCCCTTGACCGGAATCGAACCTGGGATCCTTCAATCCGCAGGCCGACGCTCCACCACTGAGCCAAACCGGTTTCGGCCAGCAGGCTCATTTTCAAGTGGACAGTTTCGTGTGGCCGGTGAATGATGGTACACACACCCAAATGGCCTGGGTGGGGAAAAAGCTTCCCCACCCCAGGCAGGAGCAGTGGTAGAGAAGTTGGTGCTGAGTTCAGATTCCTCTTCCCCCACAGACAATGCCGAGGCAGCACAGCCAAGGGGGTGAGGACACTGCTGGAACCCAGGGTGGGCACGCCTGGCACCCACTGAGCACCTGGCGCCGGTCTGTATCCAGATCACACAGAAACCGAGGGTCAGAGCCACACAGGCCCTCAGGACCACGGCTGCCATCCCGCCCGCTGCTGAGGGAGGGAGCTGAGAGCCAAAGAGGCCACGTGCGTGGCTGTCTCCCAGACAAAGGTCTCGGTCTCTGAGGCCTGGGACCAGACATCTATGGTCCAGAATGACGCTCAAACCCCCCCCCTCACCCCCCCACAGCCCTCTGTCCATCTCTTCTCTTTGTTCTTTGAGGTCTTGAGTCTGTCCTATCCAAATGTCCCTCATGGCCTTCCCTCACCAATGTCCCAGGGCCTTTCAGGGCTCAGGTCGGCTCCTGGAGTGGAGTTCCCTACCTGGCGGAGCCTCTTCGCTCGGTCCCCTCCCTTGCAGGGGCCTGGCACCCCAGCCCAGTGACTCCCAGGCATGCCGAGAGCACCAGCCTCCGTGAAGAGCTAACTGGGAATGGCCCCGGGGCGTCGCACCTCACTGTTTAACAAGTGTTTTCACATACATTGCAAGAGGCTTAGGGCCGAGCTTTGCCTCTGCCCCTGAAAGCTGCTTCTCTGGGCCGGGTTCCTCAACGGAAAAGTATAACAGCCCTCAGCCCGTCCGGCTCATGGCGGTATTTACAGAGATCTAACAGTGGGTGAAGAGTGCTTTTGGAAAACACAATGTTCCTGGAAAATGTGGCCAATGAGAGCTGTGTTCCCAAAGACTCCCTTCCTGCCCTCGTCCCGGCTGTGGGTGGACTGACTGTGGCCGAAGACCCACTGTCACGACTGCCTGGCAGAGCCTGGCAGAGCCCGGCAGAGCCCGGCAGAGCCTGGCAGAGACTGGCAGAGTGGGCGCCGAGTAGGTCTGTGCTGATGGTGACCGGCTGGCTTGAGGATGACATGTTTTCGCTTCCCTCCCAGTGGAACGCTGGCGCCCTTCCCCGGGTCCTCTCCACGACAGTCAGGAGGGTCTGACTCAGTTGGGTGCCATCCAGCACATTCTCTGCAGCCACCACCTGAACCACTGGAGCTGGTCTTACTGCCCCCAACCAGGTCAGACTTCCCTGCTGAGCCACAGGCTTGGAATGGAGAGGACTTGCCCCAGGCCCCACAGCTAGAAAGTGGTGCAGCAGCAATGCCGCACCTCCCCCCCCTCCCCCCCCCCCCGCCCTCACCTCCTTTCCCCCCTCCCTCCACCACAGCCATCCTGCCTGCCCAGCCAGGCCAGGCGCCCTGACCCCGGATCCCGGAATGCCCTGCATATTTCTGCACACAGATCTTGGTGTGTTATTTGCCTCCTTCCGAGGACTGAGGATGGGGCAGACCTCATGGTCCTATTACCAGCTCACTGCTGTGCCCCACACCTAACCAACTCACAACCGTGAGCACAGGCTCGCAATGCCTGTGCTGAGAGCTCTGCCAACTGCTGTGTGCCAGAGACCACCGCCTGAGTCCACATCCTCCATGTGTGCTGAGCTGCCTCCACCCCCTCTAGTGCTTGCTCTTCAATTGGAGCAAACTCCCGCATGGCCCACATGCCTCTGCCAGTGCGTCACCAACACGGATGAAGCAATGGCAGCCGCATCTCGCCCGGGGCCCTGCCGTCATTTGGCCTTTCGCGATTTACTGAGCCTGCTGTCTCCATGTGGTTAGCATCCGTTGAAATGGTAAAGGTTATCTGCCTTGATGTAAAAGCTGCTGGGAGACTAGAATCAGGCAGGTGTAGTTTTCTGTAATATTGGGGATTTACTATGTGCTAAGTATTGTGCCAACTGCCTGTGAGCCCTTGTGAACATTTTTTTTCAATATATTTTATTTATTTTTTTTACAGAGAGAAAGAGAGAGGGATAGAGTTAGAAACATCGATGAGAGAGAATCATCGATCGGCTGCCTCTTGCACGCCCCCTACTGGGGATTGAGCCTGAAACCCGGACATGTGCCCTTGACTGGAATCAAACCCGGACCTTTCAGTCAGCAGGCTGATGCTTTATCCACTGAGCCAAACCAGTCAGAGCTCACTGAGTGAGTTTTATTTTATTTTATTATTATTATTATTATTTATTATTTTAAAAATATATTTTATTGATTTTTTACAGAGAAGAAGAGAGAGGGATAGTTAGAAACATCCATAAGAGAGAAACATCGATCAGCCACCTCTTGCACATCCCCTACTGGGGATGTGCCCACAACCAAGGTACATGCCCTTGACCGGAATTGAACATGGGACCTTTCAGTTTGCAGACCGACGCTCTACCACTGAGCCAAACCGGTTTCGGCCCTTGTGAACATTCTTTTAAAAAATATGTATTTTTAGCCGAAACCAGTTTGCTCAGTGGTAGAGCGTCGGTCTGCGGACTGAAAGGTTCCAGGTTCGATTCCGTTCAAGGGCATGTTCATTGGTTGCAGGCACATCCCCGGTAGGGGATGTACAAGAGGCAGCTGGTTGATGTTTCTCTCTCATCGATGTTTCTAGCTCTCTATCTCTCTCCCTTCCTCTCTGTAAAAAATCAATAAAATATATTTCTAAAAAAATATATGTATTTTTATTGCTTTCAGAGAGGAAGGGAAAG